GTTGATCTGGGGAGCGCAAATCGGCATAGAACCCAGTTAAGCTATGGCTGTAGTTGAAATCACAATGTTTAACGTTTTGTAGAAATAGCTGAGAGACGTGCGAAACAAAGGACCCGCATGGTGTGGTGGTGAACGCGTTACTCCCCGGAAAGGATAATAGCGCGTTCGTTCCCCACCATAGACACCTGCGGTCCAGAGTTTTGCAAATATCTCAGAAACGTTGTGGTTGTATTTCGTTTAGTAACCTGCCATGAAAATTATAGAAGGCAGAAAACAAAACGTTAAACTCTATGGTTAATCTTAACCCTTTTATTTACTGCCTTTTTCTTTTTAATGGCAGGGTATGTTGCGAAATATAACTCGTATATATAATGCTGAGATATTTGCAAAACTCCGGACCGCAGGTGTATGCGGTGGGGAAAGAACGCGCGCTGTTGTCCTTACCGGGGAGCAGCGCACTTCACCACCACACCATCCGCGTCCTTCGTTTTGCTTGTCTCTCAGCTAGTATCTCAGCATTATATATACTGTCAAATAGTTTTATTTATTGTTTTCCAGTTCAGAATCAAGTGACCAAAGCAGTGTTGTGATGTTACTCCGGCCCAAAACAGCGGAAAATATGGACGTTGATTTCTTTCGACCACTATATCTGGCGTGATTGTTAGTTTCCTCGCTACTTTGGCGTAAATGCAGTCACATTGGAAATTGGAGATTTTCTCAATGGAGCTTCTAATTGGTGAACAGCATAATTCAGTGGAGCGCCTAAAGAAAAGATTTCGTGTGAGCTCGACATTTTTCGAGTTTTTTATTTCTGGTTCCTTCTTTCAAGCTACGAATATTTGGAGCATCTGCAGATTCGCTACTTATTTTAGTAATTTATTTATTAATCTCCGAGTTGATGTTCGACTTGGCATGCGAACAGTCATCTTCTGTTACGACGGCAAAGGTCTGTCACACTCTTCACAAAGCGAGGAGTGTAAACAGCCATTTGTCGACCTTTTCGAGGTTTCTTTGGTTCAGGACATCATAAATTGCAGAACGAACAATACTATAACAGCAAGTGGTCATTACAGAAAACATTCTATGGGTTTGTTCAATAATAGATAGTCGTGGTGTGTACCATCCTTTCCTTTTTGAATTGTGAAAATTTGTAATGACACAGGTTGATTTCATCGCGTATAGTCCAAAAGTAACGGCTGCTTAAGAGTTGAAAGCAATACGTTTCTGTTACTAGACGGACTTTCACTTATCGTCGTGAATATTCAATGGTTTTCTCAGGATTGTTCAACTTACCCGAGGTTACAACTTACGTGACAGATTTACAAGTAGATGATTAATAGTGTAACCATTACTATATTGACCACATATCTGATATTTTCATGAATCAGGAATGCCACTCAGTTTTCGGAAAATCTTGAGTTTGCAGTAGAGTGAGCGTCCTCTTCTAAACGTACATAACAGAAAAAGCGCATGGGCTATGTTGAACGGAAAAGACGTTGGTGAATAACAGTTGTCTTCGTTTTCGATGCATTCGACTGGAAGGTGGAGTTCTTCCATAGTTCACTGTAATTTCAATCATTTTCCACTTTCTTTTGTTCATTTTTGTACTTTCTGGCTCTCAAGCGTTGTCACATTACGGAAGGAAAGTATTTGACAGCGGAAATTTAGAACATTTATGGTCGTTTATAAATTTAACCCTGATGTCTTTTTTCTATTCATTTATTTGCACCATAGAATAAGAAAATGTGAACTAAAGAAATCAATACTCATCATTCTTTTTTAATTTACATGACCTGCCTTCACATTTATTGTTCGGATCCCAGTACTCCTTCCATTGGATTAGTTTCCGAGCATCCATCATCCACAGAGCTCTTCGGCGAACTTTTTGCTTATGGCTTTGACTGATGCAAGAGGATTTTTGTCTCTATTGTGAATGCTGTTGAATTCTGGTCGACTCGATTCTCCCTGATTACTTGGAATACCTGTTCTAGTGCAATGCCCTTAGAAGAAGTGAGCTGATCCTAGACATTTCTGGTACCAATTTTCCTTCTCGGGAGGAATGAGAGGCTTTGTAAGTTTGGCACGTTGTCGAACCAACGTCGTGCTGGTGATGAAAGATATCATACTCACTGCGCTACCCGACCCATTTAATATTCATTAGGGGATTGTGTATAAGCGTATAATTAAATGCTTATGTTGATTTTTTTTTCGTAGCCGACCACCAAGATTTGCTGTTAGTATTGGAAATTTCTCAAAATGCTAGTTGTTCACATTGGTTACGTTTAGTCAAGTAATCAACTTCACTGTTCATTCAATTATACACTTAGTTTTTGTGGGCTTTTCCTTTTTTCTGGGGTGTCTTTTCCAGCGACCGTAGTGTTTCATATTCTGCAGAGAAGCGTGTAAATTGATCCCATAGTTAATGAATTTTCTTCGTCACATACGAAATGCGTTCAATATTTTTCGCAATATATAAAATCCAACGAAGTAATGGCGTGTACTGTATTATGAACATATAATGATAAAGCGCTCGGCGTTGATCAAAGTCTGTCTTATGTGCCATGTATTCGGCTTTATCAACTATCGTTAGTGGTGATTGAATGAATCACCTATACAGTGACTCGCGATGACCTACCGATGTATCAGGTCAGTGCTGCTGACCTTGTGACAAGCATGGGGCAACCCCGAGGGAGGATAGAGGGATTGTGAGCTTGGGACGTGGCGTCGAACCGGGGGTCACATTTGCAGGTCACCTCTAGCCACTGCGCTAGACGAAACTTTGGTTTGCATTAGAATAACCAAATTTCTCCATAGCTTGTATTATTTAAATATTCTTTTCCGTTTTAGAAGGGAACATGTGAATCAGACAATCCGGGAGAAATTACTAGCGATGGAGGCAAGGAAACAACGAATGAAAGAAATTCGGCGTTTGCTAGATAGAAACCAAGGTAATTTAGTTTACTGCTTTCCATTCCACTCTAATTGGGTCTACCCAGCCAAGCGGTTTTTAGTGCTACAAAATTTTGAAATATTGTCGTAGTTCCACTGAAAGCTGTTCAACTCTATTTGTTGTCAACAAACGAGCATTACTGTAGTAACCCGATTGGTGAAATTAGGGAGTTGCGTCGTGAAATTTATTTCCTGTTTCTATGTGGTTGTTATTTTACCTACTGCATTTATTTCACGTCCTCATCCAAGCTATAGAATCCGGGCATCCACTCTGTTGTTACTCCAACTGCCTTTTTATTACAAATTCTGCTACCGAAGAATTTTGCATAGTATATGTACACCATAGTTTTTAGTTTTTGTTGTTCTTCTCGAAATTACAACTCATGTTTCCAGCCGCTGCATCTTCTCTTCTCAATGAAACGAAAAGGAAGTTCGAAACAGGGTCGTCACAGGACGAATCCCTGAAGTCCAATGATATTTCTAGCACTTACAACTCCACGGATTCTTCTACGGGGACTCAGATCTGCTCGGAGCCAACTCCTCGCGTTTCATTCGAAGATGGGACAGAAGAAGAATTGTCACAGGAGAACAGTGATCAAACGAGAAGAGACATCGAGGAGACGTTCCGAAGCGCCGAAATTAATCTTCAGTGAGTGGAATTTACCAGTTATACTCGAAATGTGGAAGGAATAGATGCCATACAAAATCCCGCTACTTCATTTTCGAATAGGTTTAGCGCCTAAAGTTCGTTGTGATTTAGTGTCCTTAACGTATAACAATGACAATACGCATTAGTTTCAATAAGAGCATTTTCGAGAATAACTTCATCTGTCAACTTTATGCAAACATATTTCAGTCCATGGTGAACTTCAGTAATTGAAATGAGAAGCAGTAAATTTTATAGTTTCTTTTAAATACGACTCTTTTTTAACTCTAGAGAATGATGAGGCTCTGAGTTTGGGAGTGTCAGAAGTCGTTGTCTTTTCGTTTTTTTTCCGTCTACTTTTGTGTTTGGAACAACGAAGTAATTAAACTAATGGAGTTCCGTCCATCGGTACGTGGCTGTATTCTCGACCATATCAGTAGCCTTACTTGAAAAACATTAAGCCCTCTTTGTGGTACCAGTATTTCTTCAACTTTAAACCTTGAATAAAGTTAGAATTGAAGCAATGTTTTAGAGATGCTGTACACCTTTAGTATGTTAAGACAACTTTTCTTCTGTAAATCTCTCCAGTTCTTTGCACCTTGAGTACCGTAGTCATGAAAAAGAATATAAACAATAGTCGAGCTGAAGTAATAGCAAGTTATCGAAGCGCTCGTACCATTCGGAACGTGTAAAATTAACTGAGGTAAATAATTGAGTTTCCTTCCAGCAGTTGCTTTCACTATTGTTGAGTTTTGCTTTACCACAGAGACATGATTTATTTTATAGGAGACTAGGAGACTGCTGTAGATACGATCATTTATCAGGAGAAAGCCTTTGATTGCACCGGTAACGTCGCAGTTCGTTTCTATTGAGCGCCAGAGCTGCACACTGCATTCCTTTCGATTGACGAACTCGAATCGCATTACACTTTTCCTATAATGCTATCGGATCTTATATTTTATGACTTTTTGAGAGGAAATAACTTTACCAGGTTTTGACATTGGGAAACTGCATGTACTTGTGGGTGTCATGTCTGATTCGTCGAAATGCATGCACGACTTATTTATTAGAAACGATCTCAGACCACGCCTATCTCAAATTAATGTTCTCCTGGTTGCGAACAACGTTCTCTTGGTTGCATACTTTTTACGAATCGATATAAAGGAAGCATGCAAGCACACCCACACACGTATCCACGGATAAAAGCAGGGCAAGGGAGTTCATTTCCTGAATCCATCTTCATTTCGTAGCAAATACAAGGTTGGTTTTGGTGCTCGGTGTTGGGTTCGATCCAATATTCACCACTGGGAGCCTTGCTAAGTAGGCATTTCACTAATAAATTCCTCATTAGGAAAGTTCGTTGTCTAGATACTGTAGCATTAGCAGGTTTATTTTAAAAAGGTGAGTAAAATGTGTCAAAAAGATTTAAGGCATGCTTTTACAGATATTTAGTCCTCAGAAATGGTAAAACGACATCTGTTATTCTAATAAATCGAGACCTTAACCGTTTGGGCGTTCATAAAGCACTTTGTGCTGAGTTTTTTAAAATTTTCAAAATCAATACAGCAGCGAGTGGCATACTCTTGTTTATTTCAGTCTGAAAACGTAGATTTGTTGTTTCGGCTTCGTTAAGAATTCGAGGTAGCATCTCATTCACTGCATAAAAGTCCTCTCGAATCAATAGAGGGAGCTGAAATACCATGGATTGGTTAGATTTAAGTTCATTCTTTGCGTTGTGCTGCGGAAATTTCAGCAGAAGAGGAAAGAGGCAGCTGAAAGCCAGCCGATTTATTTTGTAGAAAATTAAAAGGACTAGTAGGAAACATTATTTTTGATGAGTTAGTGGTTTAAAAAGATAGAGTTGCTGAGCTGTCGTATCAAAAGCTGTGAATGTTTTCCAGAAACCTCACTATGCTTCGAGAACGCCTTGAAGAAATGCAAAATCGTGGCGAAGATCTGTCAGAAGAAGATGCAAATCTGATTTCTCAACTCGAAAGAGGAAACGAAGTGAATGAAAAGAATAAAGACGACGAACATAAGGTTTGCTTCTCCTCCTTTTTAGTTTCTTAGTGAGATTCTCACTTAATAGTCGGGGTTGTGAGGGTGTTATGCCGTGTTTACAGCACTGGTAAGTTTAGTTTATAGCGTTTTGTGAAACTTTAGGTCTCATTTCTTATCCGTCGAAGAACAGCTCACTTTGTTGTCATGTGGTTCGTTGAGCGTGAATGTTGTGTGGTTCCTCTTAACAAAATGTCGACCTCTGAAAATGACTCTACTGACTCTGACGACTCTGAAAAATGTTCTTCTTGGAAAACTAATATGCAATACTAATATTACATTTTCTTCTCTGTAATAGCTTTAAAACTAATTTTGTTCGCATCAACAATGAAAGTAAGTGTGTAAATAAGCTCAAGTTCAAATATTTTGTTAGCAGTTCTGCTCTTCCACTGTTTGTCCCGTCTTATTAAAAAGAAAGAGAAAGTAACGCCTAAAAGATACCCGCCAAACTCTCAGTATTGATGTACTATGTGATGTAGTGAGTGCCATAGTAGTGGAAACATTTAAAATGTATGAACATCTGCTTGAAGCTAGACGCTTTCGCGGAACGTGAACCATTGCTCTCTCGTTACCATCCATGTGACGAGTGGTGTTACTTGTATTTGGGACTAATTCAGTATTCGTGCAATTGTAGAAAATATGAAGAATGGAGAGTGACCTTGAGGCAGTTTTTGTGTGGTTGTCTGGAAAATATAATTTTCTACATGAATGAGCCAACATGAGGCTGATATAAACTTTTATTCGGCTAACATTTCGGCGCCTTCCCTTACCTGAGAACGGCGCAATACCGAGTCGATGGTCCACAGCTGGTAGTTCTCGCGATGTGGCTGATCGTTGTCGCATCGAGTCGAATCTAGTGGAGGGAGCGTAGCTCGAATGACACCTCAAGTTTATACCGACCTCATGTTACCTTGGTCATTTAGAAAATTGATTGTTGTTACCGGGGTTTAATGAAAGTCGGTTTTTAAGATAATCTTAACACAGTTCTGATAATATTGTTAGAATTTGAGCGATTCTTTGCATGATTTCAGTGACATTAGTCTAGATGGTGTAGACTGTTACGTTGATCGCATTCCTGAATCGGCCATTCTATGGAACTCTCCTATTTTTTTGTCTGTTTATAATTCGAAGATAGTAATTCATTGCGTCCACCATTGAATGTGTGCACTGTTATGTGTTGGTTATAGATATGGCCAGTTGTGCAGTGAAATTTCTGCGGTCGATACATTTGAGCAGAATATTTCTTCTGTTGGCTTTGAACGTTAAATTACCATAGGTCGGAAAGACACTGCAATACCAAGAGCTGCTAACAGACTCTGATCGTCTGAAGAACATCGAGCGGATGCTCCTTCATCAAACTTCTTTGCTCAGCGAATTGCTTCGATTGAACCAGGTACCACTTTTGATGAGCTAGTGCGACCATTGTTTGATCCTGCGGATTTGTTCCATCGGTTTGTGGTCTAGCAACGGTATTTACGAAGTTCGACAGCTTAGTGATTCACATCCGATTGCAATATTTCAGTGGGTATGAACTTCACGTGGATTTTGATTCTCATCAATGTCAAAACTTTTAAGTTCCCTATTTTCTCTCATTAAGAAGCTAAGGAGGACTCGTCCTGGTGCACAATATCCCAACAATTTTTATTATCAGTTTTTGATCATTCACCTTAGAATCAGATTTTAACTGTTGATTAAGCAAAACGGAACTGTGGGTATTAGTGGATTTCATAATTCGTGCAGCACGCGAACAAAAGGCGGATTCTAATCAAAGGTTCCAAATTCGGTAATTAGGTACGAAATTCTGCGTTCACAGAGTACAATGGATGGTAGTATTTGTATTGCATGTAAATACTTTAGTTTAATTCAAGTCCGTTTTGTTTGTCATCGTTATTAATAAACTAGCTTTGATAACCTTAATTAATGAATCCGCTTTTTTTCATCTTCTGTCAGTCGATCTATTCATACGGGCATGCTAGGAGCAAGGCACCACACATCTCATTGATATACAGTACCCAACGATTGGTTGTACTGAACACCTGGGAACACTTTAGCCAGGTTTAATTGGTATTGAAGAAAATAGAGCATCCGTCTAGTATAAAAAAGGTGAAGGATTAAGCTCCAGTGTTTATCAATCCTTGAGGGATGTGCTATGCATTCGACTTCATTAAGTATAGTTGAAGGTGATTGAATGCGTATCTGGCTTTTACAATGACTCGCGGGGACCTACCAATGTATCGAACCACTGCTGCTATCCTCCCAGACAAGTCTGATACCATTTTTCCGACCCCGGAGAGATGGAAGGATTGGTGGGCCATGGGTGCGAGGATCAATTTTAAGTGTGTGTAGCAGTGCGCCCCCAACCACTGCTCCACTTGCGCCCGTCATCTAGTATACAGTATGTCATTGAGGAAAGAAAATTACGAGCCCATAGCCATGCCCACATACGAATCCACCATCTCATTGGACGGTCACAGGGCAGCAAATTGAATGGACAAGGTGCCTCGTAAGAAGTGTGAGAGTGGGCCATCTAGGTAGGTATCTAGCTTTAATGTTAGATGTTTACAATTAGCTGTACGGTCTTCCACGCTTCTTTTTCGAATTTCTTAAACGTGTCTTCTTGAATACCGTTGCTGGGTCAGTACCACACGGTGGACGAGGCTGGTCGAGAGGGTAGCTTCTGGTTGGGCATCGATCCGAGGCGTGTGGGGGGTGGCGCGCCGGCCACCCGCTGGCCGGCCGCTTACATCGTTGTGCCGGCCTGCCTACCCAGTCCAGTCTCATCCCCTTCCTCTCTGCTCACTTGTCACTGCTTCTTAGCCGTCGATCAGTCGTGATGCTGTCACTGTCGCAGTACACCCAGCTGTACTGCTCAACGTATTTATGTCAACTGCCCCCGCACTTCTAAGAGTGATGTCATCGTGCTTGCTTCAACTTGCCGATGGTGTTCCAGTTTCACACCAACTGCAACGAATACTTAGCGTCATTTGTGAGGTTTGCATCGGTTTCGGTTTTCGTTTGACTAATGCCCGACTCGCCAGTTAAGTGAATGCTTTGCCACAGTCTTAGACAATGTAAGCTGGGCTAAGGTTCGCTTAGGCTGGAGGGGACGGCGCGCCTTGATCGGCGTTTCTCATAGTGTGTGTGTGTGTGTGCGTTCAGCTGAATTCGTCATGTCGCCAAAATCATCGAGAACTATTTTTCACATCGAAATTCCCTCGTTCGTTTCTATTCGCTGTGTATGCCGATGTGAGGCTTTGTGGTTTCTAAAAATCCCTCAAAGTAATTATTTCCTATGGGAAATGTGCAAACACGGGCAAAAATCGCTTTGGTTCACTTCGGAATACCAATGTATTAAACGTAGTGTATTCGCAATGACGATGGCGACATGAGTGATCGATTTAGGCAACATTTTGCCCATTTAGTTTTGTTCTATTATTTGCTTTTACAGAGGTATAATATTCAGCAGCACGAAACAGATTCTCAAGGAAACATTACAACAGATCAGGTTGGGTTTTCTATAGAGTCCCGTGGTTCTAAAATCCTCATAAATTCCTCCTTCAGATTACTTTCTATTTCAATACTTCTTTCTTCATTTATATTCCGAAACGGCTGTTTTATGTCGGCAATCCTAATCGAAGTGAAGAACAACAACGTTCTTGTAAAATTCTGGGATTGTGCTGCCAATATTAGTGCATTTCATAATTGCATCTTCAATAGAATTCTCCGTCTGCAGTCTAGCATCAATCGTATATATTGCAAAAGGCGTCGAGAGGAAACCCGTCGATATCTAATTTACAAAAAATTTGGCTGCGTTCTCGCATATTTATCCTGTTTTTTAGCTTACACCTAATTAAAAGCTAGTTATTCTCCTTTTTCGACGCTTTTGTGATCATCTTAGAATTCAGCCAGTGCTTCCAGACAACACAAACCGACAGTTTATTTATGTGGTACACAGTGTAATGTAAGGTTTGAAAATCGATGTGGACTTAGGTTTAGCGCCGAGTGACTTTGACTGTCTCTATTGCATGCTGGCTACCTTTTTCTTGCTTCTCGTCACTGAGTGACGACAGCCTAAATGAGGTATAAAGTCAGGAATTGATCCCGCGTTGCTATGTGGCTTTGGCTCACACGTCGTGATTGCACTTCATTCCGATGGATAGAGATTACTATATAGTTTGAGAGCAGGTGTCATGAAGTGTAGAGTGTCTGGCGCTGTTCACTCCTCTTGCTTTCTCAGCGCGATTCTGATTAGCAGCCTTAAAAGCTGCATGCCACACACCCACAACCGACAAAACGACGAAGCGCTGAATTATGTTGCCATGAAAACTTGCACACAACTCAATAAAAGTTATAAAAACACACTTGGAACGCTATTGAATTTGCCTCTACCTAATTCACCAGATTTCTAAAATGTCCCCGGATTTACAGATTTGTGAATGCGATTTGCGCATTAAGCCGTCCACTGTTATTATTATTATTATTATTATTATTATTATTATTATTATGATTATGAGAACATTTGGGAGGTATTGTTTCTTAAGTGATAATCTTGCAGGGTAATAAGAAAGTTTTCCTGTCTAAAACAAACTCATAGAAAGAGAATCTCTAGTTTTCTTAGGAATGTAGGAAAACATAAAGCTATCGAAAACTTTTCTGGCCTTGTCCCAGATTCCGCAGCGTCAGAAGAATGCTGACGTCGACGGTGTATCTGTTGCTGGTCTAGCAAGCGGAATTAGCGACTTCCATCTGAAGGAGACCATCACAAAAACCGTATTCGCGGTTAACTCGATCTTGGAGGATTGCTTGGAACTGGACGAAGAAACGGCAGAAAGGTTTGCTAGAGTGCCAAGTGTGCAATGACACTGAATCGTCGTCCTCTAAGTGTGTATGTGTTGTCAAGGAAAGTCAAATCAAGTGTGGAACACTGCCGTTCTAGTAACGGAGTATTTTTTATACTTTATCTTGTAGGAACTTATTGTTCTGTGGTCCGCTTATACTTACTCGTTATTACTATAGCCGAATTGAAATTGTCCATTGTCTATCCAGTGGGCTCTGCCCGCGTAGGTTCGATTCCTGCTCACTGCGAGAGTTTTGCAGCAATCGTCGGTGTTCACAATCTGTGTTTGTGAACCGAATGCGGTGAACCATCGTGTATGCCAGAAAAGTAACGGTAACATGAATCGGTGCAGCGTTGTCCGGCAAAAATCCAGCAATCCAGCAAAAATTTCTTTTTTTCCTTCGGTACAGTAAATAACGAGATCGCCGGAGTACTTACGAACACAAGCAAACTTTTTTACGCTACTCATCTTTTACATTTATTGTGCGGATGCCAATACTTTTTTGAACGCTTTTTCGTTTTTACCCTTTAATGTCGTATATCATTTTCGCAACTCTACTGTGTTGTTCAGTAGTCGGCGCAAACGTTTATTTTGTGATTTGAGTCGGTACCATAAAAATATCAAAGCGTTCCAGTCATAGGGTCCTTTCCACACTGCATATGGTTGTGTGTGGTGTGTGCATTACACTTTAAATCGTTTTGAACGCATGAAGGATTCACACTGTTGTAATTGGCTAACATTTTCTTACAAAATAGTAGCAGATAGATCGACTAGTGGAAGATTTCCGCCTGTCACGTATCGTGTTGCTTGGTGCATCTGTGAGTTTGAAAATGGTCGGCACCAACTGTTATGAGAAAGATGAAAAGTGCGACGACGACGGCCACATTACAGCGAAGTCCGTGGCAGCAGTTGCTTGGGTACCAGCAGAAGGTCCTGTCTGTTACAACGAAATGGCGCTGCGGCTGTTGGATTCATCATACCTCTACTTTTCCACATTGAAGCACCACACTACAGCATATTTTTAAGATTCGGATGGGGAACGGTGAACAGCGATCGTTACTGAATCAACACTTAAAACAATGAAGGAATTTGGTAACATAAGAAAGTCGCTGCAATATAAACGTAATTGGAAATCAGCTAAAGTCTAAACTCAATTTACTCATTTTTCTAAACGAATTTGTCAATGGAAAGTTAGCTGGTACTGCTCGAACTGAGGTATCACTGATAGCAAGTCAGCTCAAATAATTCCGCTTTCTGGTTTTATTAAAATTCTGTTGTCAGACAACAGTGCTTTTTAGTGGTTCTATGCCTTAATTAGTGGGGTTCTGCTCTCTACGTAGTCGTCATAATGAAGATCATTGGAAGACATTTTCAAGGAATTCGAAAGCACAATTGGTAGTGTTTTAGATAGAACTCGTTAATGTAGCAGTAACGGTTAGATATGATGGTTGTGTGGTCATGTGTGGTTTTCCAAAAATCACTCACGATTGGGAATAAATTTGGCCAGACTGCTTGAGAAGTTCAAGGTTTCATTTAGAAACAACTTTGACTTAGTGTTCTAGGAGTGCATATAGTCTTCTAGAATATTTTAGAACTTTAAAATGCTAATACAATTAAGTAACTTTAAGTTTAAATACTGGCTTGGCAACTTTCCATTGACGGACTCGTTCGGCAGCACTACGGTGTCTTATTTTCTGTTGTCTCTTTTGCCGTTTTATTGCTTCTGGTAAATGTCTCACCGACAGAAATGAAAAAAGGCTTAATTTTAAATAATAATAAGGTTTACCACTGGTTGAGGAGTTGGTTTAAGGTGGAAATGTCCAATTATTTTCGGTCATATTGTGAGTGATATGTGGTGCATACTGTCGATGTTCAATAACAGTTAAATATGAGGCGCAAATATTCTGCTCTTGAAGGTTTTAACTAGAAATGCAAGGGAATCATTGTCACTAGTAAAAAGAGGAAGGTTATTTGGATTCTGTATAAAGGCGGAATGATGGAAGGAAAATGAGAGATTCGAAAATTTAATAAAACAGGTCGGAAAATAATGTTGAGATTTGTATCATATCCAACTTCATCAAACTTCAGTGGGAGGAGCACCCATCCAGTAGTGTCTAGGAAGCAATAAACTTACGGTGTTTCTTATTTGTTCGGAAAATTGTTCACACTAGCGCTTGAAATCTTGAAACAGTCTAAGGAGCGGGGCGCTATACTTTTTCGTAGCTTTTTTTTGTGGTTAGCACATGCATTTAAAGGTTGTTAGAGTTTTAGTTCGCGTAAATTAGGCTTAGGTTTTGGCATAAATTCAAATAAAGAGTAGGGAGGTGCTTTATCTCAAATGGCTTCCTATTACTAATTGCATAGTTTAGACATCATAACAATGGATGACGTAGTTAAACACTGTTACTAAACCAACTTTCACTTAACCTCGGCGTAAATAATCGATATATTTCCTTGAATTGCTGAAGCCGAAGCTATAAGCCGTTGAAGTAGCAAGCTGAGCAGTTCAAGGAAGTATAGTTGGATAGTTGTTGACGATCTAAGTTTGAACCATAGTTTACAATTGTTTCATCTGTATGTTGGTAGATTTCGTCTGCTGATGATGTGTTGAGAAAATCGGTTTCAGACTGCGTGATGTGGTAGTGTCGAATGTTGCTGCGCTATTCTCAAACGTGCCACGGTCGATGCTTGATGCTCAGCTCGGTTCACTTGTTGCCGATGTGGTGTTCATCTACATCCATAAGAAAACTGCCGACATCGTCGACGTCTTATCCGCTGACATCGTTCGTGTTCTCTCCACAGAACTAGACTTCTATCATCTCATCAACTCTCTTAATTATATTCCTGATCCGTGCCCCATAGAAAACGACGAGCATTAAGTGCTTCGGAAGTTCTGTTATACTTTCTTCTTCTATCTATTATTCCATGACTGTTCCTTAACAAAGAAAAAGAGTTTTTGTCTCACTTCTTGTCCTAGTACTTGTGTTTTTCACAACTTTCGTTTTTCGTGACAAATAAATTAATATGCTTATTTGACTGTACAGTATCTCCATTGAATAGTCAGTACTATTTGATATATAAGGTAGTTAATGGAATGAGAACTGTCTGCTTCAGAACTAGCTAAGTTTATTTTAAAAAAAGTCGAGTTGACAATAAAACTGAACTTGGTCGATTTCCTTATGTCTTGTCCTAAGTATTAGGTCTTTTGTGTCTAGAGGGTTTCAGTATACTAGAAATACAGTCGTAGATTAAGCCTGGCTAAGTAGTCGAACTGGCTAACGTGTAGCAGTACGTAGCGTACTGAACAGACATAAATCTGAACTTGAATAACCTCTGCTTAGTTCGTAGTAGTTTCCATCGGTTTCAGAACAGATGATTGACTACGGTCCTCTAGTGGAGCTGGCTGTCGTTGCCACTCTGATGGTCGTTGTTTTCTCCCTTCTAACGTCACGATACCATCCTGCTTTCGTTAATCTAGTGGTGTTGCTTAGCATGGCAATAACGATGATCATCTACAGCATTCTAATGAACCTCTCCATTCCTGAGCTGTTTTGTTTTCTTTGGAGGATCGTCTTCAATTCAGAACGATCACGGTGAGCTTCAGATTTTATGTTAATCACTGTATACAGGAGAAAATCTGGTTGTGTTTCAAATCATGTGAAGCTCTCCAAACTTCTAATTTTATCCACGTTTTCCACTTTCCTTTCAGTATCGCTGAGGAAGCAAAAGCTTTGAACGTTCAGTTGAAAGTGGCTCTCTGATATTATGTGTGATGATCATTTAATAACTGTGTAGAATAACTCGTGAGGAACATTCCTTACGAGCGGGCATGGAGAGGATGAAGTGCCACCGATTACCGTTACGTCAGTAATGAACGCCAGAAGTTCCCGTAGGGATTGTATTCCCAGACTTTTCACTGCACACTTTTTTCATCTAAAAGTAGAAGTCATCAGGGCTTAGTTTTCCACTAATCATGCAAATATCCATCTGTCCGGCGGCATTTTCAAGCCATTTCAGTTCGATAATTTTCCTATAGAGTCGTCAAGATTTCCGGTGGAAAGTCTCTGTGCTCCTTACATTGTCATGAAATTTGAGGACAATCTATTACCATGTTGAAGCTGAACACTGACCTTTTCTTCTGATAGTAAGACTTCCTTGTTAACTCATTCACTCGTTTATTGTGTGGACGGAAAATCGTTTATCATACACCGTTGCATTCAAGCATACCTTTGGTTCCTTAACCCTTTACTATCATTATGAATGGCTGAACTAGTGTGAATAGGCCTGATGACTTTCCACAATTTCCTTTTATCATGATCGGTGTACGGTAACCGTTATCCGTGACAGTTTTCAGTGCTTTTCTTTGTATATCAAACGTACCTACAGCTCATCAAAGCTTTCTATTCTTAAGGAGTCGGAGAATTGGTAACAGACTTGATTAAAAGGAGAGTAGCAATAAGGTGGCACATCGGTACATCGGTAGCCTCCATAACTTGTTATGTAGGCCAGACACGAATTCAGCCATCTCCAATGATGACTGAAGAAGCCAAATCCATGGCGCATTGTTCTGGAATGGTCATTGCAAAACGATTTATTCTTTGTCCATTACTATCGAACTAAACCCACAGCCATCTAATGCTAAGGGCATTGTAGTCAATATCTGGAACTGCTCACATTTTGTTAACGTTTTATTTACTGCCAAGTATAATTTTTCATGGAGGAGTATTATGTGAAATTCTACCACCTCATGCCACATTGAACCATGACTGTCCTTTCCGTGGCTCGCATATAACACACTGCACCACCGAGGCCCTTCCTTTTTGCCTTCCCTTCAGCTTATTCTCTACACTACTCTACTTGACTTGGTTCAATGCCGATTTGTGCTCCCCAGATGAATCTCGTTGACGGTTTGTTGCTGATGGCGTCGTTAGGTAGAAATCCAGCTGAGGGAAAGGCAAAGCAAGGGCATCAGTAGCAAATCCTATAACGCGCGAGCTCCCGAAAAGGGTTTGGTGGTTCGATCTGGGTTGTGGTTCAAATTTTGCGAATATCTCACCATCACTGTGGTTTCTCATTTATTCTTGCACCAAACTGCTGACCATACGAAACCTACCCAGCCAATATTTCAAAAAGTCGACTTTCGTTTAAACTCGGTATGACTAGTCAACATGTATTCTTTCATTAATAAGCTAACAAAGGGTTGATAAACAACCTTATTCGGCTAACGCTTTGACGTCGTCGTCTGTATGACTTCCTCAAAGACAATGGTTCGAGTGCCCGGTGATAAAGATGCTGATTTCTACAGGATGGAGTGTCCGTGAGAAACTATCATTGAGCAATCACTAACAGCAACAACTGTCCTGTATAAAAGAGCATAGCCGGGTGAGGTTGCCTCATTTGAGCGCTGCTCATGGTTGTGCTCGATAGGACACCACGTCTGTAATACAGATGCGAACTGTGGACATCGACTCCGACCATCGACTTTGAGGAAGACGAAGACGTCGAAACGTTAGCCGAATAAAAGTTATTTGTCAGCCTCATATCAGCTTATTAATAAAAGAATACGTGTTGATTAGCCAACAATGTTGGTTGTGTCGGAGGGATTCTTTGAAACACGCGATGTTCTCTTTCTGGCAGGCAGTAGACTTCCACTTCATACCTCAAGCGTTTGACGAGATTGGAGGAGTAAAGTGATCTTGTTATAGAACCGTAAGTGGGACGGATTTGTCTCTTTCTAATATAAAGGATAAGGATGTCGATGTCGATCAATCCCTGAGAGATGCGCGACTACAATAAACATCGTTGCAGGTGATTGAATGCTTATCTGGCTTTCATAATGACTCGCGGTGGCCCACCGATGTATCGAACCAGTGCTGCTATCTTCCCAGACAAATCTGGTACCAATTTGGCCACCCGATCCCATAGGGATGAAGGTCTTGGTGAGCGTGAGGTGTGGAGATCGGTCCCGTATGTATTGCACGGCTCCTTCGACCACTGCGCTACATGCGCTCCCTGTCTAGTATATCACATCTTTATTGAAGTAAAAAAAATAGGAAAGGAATACTCGCAATGTTTTTTGCCTGTAATATTTTTCAACCTACTTATAATCCATATGTTTAAATATCTGGGGAAATAGTATCGCTACTGAAATTTTTCTAGAATTTTTGCTATTTTATTCATCCTTTCAGGTATTTTCTTCTCATCTTTTGGTTGTGTAATGTCCTTGCTTCAGTTGGATTTGGCATTTTCGTAAATGCTATCGGTCGAAGTTCTACAATACATAGGTAGATGAGACTACATCCAGTCCTCGACTTGGTAGCTAATATGCTTCGGTTTTAGAAAATTCTTCCATCTGACCGTGTCTATGATTTATTTGTCTGGCATTCGCTACGACCACGATTTTGTCTGGCTATGTGGGTGGCTGATGTTCTGCATGTTTGTCATTGTAGAAGTGAGTGGCGAGCTTTTACTACGAATCCATCCCTAATTAGAAGACTTCCTTCTTAAAAATGCTCACTTATTTTACAAAACTGCTTATTAAATATTGGCCAACTTTCAGTTGGAGTAAGAATTATCGTATACAAACTGTGCTACATTAACAGTTGGAAAAAACAAGACGTCCTGACTTTTTCAATTAACTTCGAACTTCCTTTCACCCAATCACCTATGATACTTGCCTTTGCAAACAATATTTCCTTCTGGAATGGGAAACGTTGCGACAATTGAGTCAATCTAGCAGCGGAAGTCCTCCGACCCACACATTCTGTCTCATGTGTGGTCTCCAAATTTCATAGTCTTGTATGACACTAAACTAGCGATCAATAACAGAATCGTTATATGTTGTTTTTCGAAGTGAACGCTTTCTTTCGTTTTCTAGGTTCTTCGCTTCTTCGAAGTTCCACCTTGGGAGCAAGCATTGAATAATTTCCTCCTGGCAATGAAAGATGAACAAGATTCGGCAGTGCTACTCACTCCGATATTCCTCCTTCTTGGTGAAACCATTCTCCGTTCCTTTTTTCTGTCAGATTTCCCCCAGTCTCCTAAATTCTTGAGTTAAAACACTTAACTTAGGTGTCTTCCTGCCACTGTTCCTCTCTCCTAATGAACAGTCTCCGCATCTCTATCATCTAGCTGGAGTAGCTGCAATTGGAGTCGGTGACAGTGTCGCTGCTATCGTAGGTTCTAAATGGGGAAAAACGAAGTGGCCAAGGTAAGGTCCCTATGTTAATGTGAATAATATATATGTTATTTGGGATCTCCTAGTAGAAGTTTTCTTTTCTCTAACTGAGGGCTCCAGCTTATTTTGATAACGCTAAGGATGTTAATAACAATTTCTTTAAATGTATTCTTTCTTGATGAGCTTACACGGGGTTAATAAATATATTTATTTTCGGCTAACGTTTCGACATCTTCGTCTTCATCCATCAGATCCGATGATCTGATTCGATGGTCGACGCTTGTTATTCGTCTCGATATGGCGGCTTCGCCTTCGTGCTGGGTCAGGTCCTCTGCGGTCCATCTCGAATGAGGCATATTCACTTGGTTATGCCCTTTTATACACGATGCTGATGGTCGATATAACGATATTGTGCGCTGATATTCTTTTTCTTCCGGACAACGTATCGTGTAGAAGCCGGTGTTATTATCAGCTAGTACAAAGCATAGTAATATTTCGAGACCGACTTTCCTAGGACTTTACTTTCCTTTAACCTCGGTGTGACTAATCAAATGTAGAAATATTACAATTTCTCCCCAGTCCGACTTTCTATTAACCTCGGCATTGATTACCTCTCTCATCGCTCTCACACGAAAGGGGCGCTTGTGAGAAACATGTTTCAAACAGCTACCAACATGTGCACAGGAAGAGAGCAGTGAAAGGAGTCCCGGAACTTGGCGCGGCAAATAGCCATTTTTAATGGCTACGAAACTGTAGCTCGAGATAGATGTAGAGGAAACCACAGGTACCCCAACGATAACTCTAGCGACAATAAGGTCCCGTTTATACTGCTCTTCATTTCGAATGAAGTGCAACTATAAAACGCTGTTTAAGAATTGCCGGTCTAGAGAATTCGTTAACGATAATTGAAATATCACCGAGTTCCCAGGATCCGCTTTCTATTAACCTCGGCATTGGAATATGAATGCGTCGTTTTTTTGTTCAGCAATCGCGAGGTTTTTAAACAGCATACATTTACTTCCATAGAAAAACACAATACAATACAACACCAGCTGACGTTTCGCCAGTATCGTCTTCTTCAGAGCCTGGAAAGGTATACTGATATACAATCTACTAGGCCAAACGCTTCGATGACACTTACAAAAAGACGAAAAACTATGATAATTACATGATCAACAGCTTCTCGAAAAATTCACCGCTTTTCACGTGACTTCCAATGAGGAAGTTTAGAACAGCTGATTATAGTCGCATAAGGTTGATGACTGCACCATCCCACATCAGAAGTTGATGCGAACATACGGGGTCAGGTCGCATATGACCTCTGGGCATTCATCCCTGCCATTCATTGTAGGGTTTTTGGCATTTATCCAAAAAGCCTCAGAAAGTTTTCGCGCTGGTGTTTTAGTCTCCTGTGCAAGGATATTGACTTTTACTTCAAAATCGTCTCCGCTATGCTTTTGTATCCTATGCATGCCTAGTGGGGTACTTCGTCCTAGTTTTCGTTTGCCATCTAGATGTTCTTTTATACGGATACACAAAGGTCTGCCCGTTTCGCCAATATATTCATTTCCGCAATTATTACAAGAGATCAGGTATATCATACCTGGACTCATGCAATCACCCACCTTGCCGTAAGGGCAAATTACGCAATTTGTTGTTTCACATAGACGGTCATACAGGCGGTTACGAACTAATTGACGGCGTAGTGTAGCCGATGGTATTTCAACTATCGCTACCCATTCCTCTAAACCTGCCCTTCTTAAGCATCGTTTTATAGCTACGCTTACTTCATCGCTTATAAAAGGCAACATAAACGGGACTTTCTTTTGGCCAAGTGTTTCGCGTGGGTGCGTCGCTCTCCTTCTAAACTTATCTCGTGGGGTTACTACTTCGTAGGCATTGTAGATGGCTATTTGCCGAGCCAAGTCGCGCGATTCTTCCTTTAGTACCTGGTAGTACACACAGAGGTGGCTATTCGAAACATGTTTCTCACAATCGCCCTCTTTGTGTGTGAAAGGTGGGAAGAAAGGAAATGAACAAGGATGTTCTTGTTACTTGGCTTTCGATACCACTTTGTCAGGTAACCGCTACTTGATAGGTTTATTTGGACGTCCAAAAACGGAAGCCAGTTTTCTCTCGGTTTCTCCCGGGTGAACTTTATGTACTCGGACTGCTCGTTTAATAATTCGAAGCATTTGTCCATCTCCTCCTGCGTAGAGAAGACGACAAAACAATCATCTACATATCTGCAGTAGAGTGGTGGCCGGAGATCGAGAACAGAGGCTTCTATCTTATAATACGATATACCTGATCTCTTGTAATAATTGCGGAGATGAATATATTGGCGAAACGGGCAGACCTTTGTGTGTCCATATAAAAGAACACTTAGATGGCAAACGAAAACTAGGACAACGTACCCCACTACGCACGCATAGGATACAAAAGCATAGCGGAGACGATTTTGAAGTAAAAGTCAATATCCTTGCACAGAAGACTAAAACACCAGCGCGAAAACTTTCTGAGGCTTTTTGGATAAATGCGAAAAATCCTACAATGATTAGCAGGGAGGAATGCACAGAGGTCATACACGACCTGACCCCGTATGTTCGCATCAACTTTTGATGTGGGATGGTGCAGTCATCAACCTTATGCGACTATAATCAGCTGTTCTAAACTTCCTCATTGGAAGTCACGAAAAAAGCGGTGAATTTTTCGAGAAGCTGTTGATCATGTAATTACCATGGAGTTTTTCGTCTTTTTGTAAGTGTTATTGAAGCGTTTGGCCTAGTAGGTTGTATATCAGTATACCCTTCCAGGCTCTGAAGAAGGCGATACTGCCGAAACGTCAGCTACTGTTGTATTGTATTGTGTTTCTCTATGGAAGTAAATGTATGCTGTTTAAAAACCTCGCGAACATTGCTGAACAAGAAAACGACGGGTTCATATACCACCGAGTAATCTGAGACGCCAGCTAGTTCGTAACCGCCTATACAACCGTCTATATGCAACTCAAAATTGCATAATTTGCCACAATGGTAGAGACGGTGACTGCATGAGTTCGGGTACAGTCTATTTGATCTCTTGTAAAGCGTGCGGGGATGAATACGTTGGCGAAACAGGTAGACCACTCTGCATGCGTATAAAAGAACACCTAGTCGGGAAACGTAGACGAAATACTCCACTAGGCACGCATAGGACACAGAGACATAACGGAGATTTTGAAGTAAGGGCTAAGATCCTCGCGCAAGAATCGAGAACGCAAGCGCGCAAAACTGTTGAAGCATTCTGGATTAATTCCGAGAATCCGAAAATGGACCGCAGCGAGGAATGCCTCATTATCACGCGTGATTGGGCGGTATAAAAGACTGTTATTCTGATGAGAAGGGCACATTACGCTTCCATGCGAACTCGGTGCGGTTGATCTCCACGTGACATATTTAGTGGAAGACTCATAGAAATGGTGAGTGTGCAAAGACCCTGTGTTCAATGTGATTGCAATTTTGGTTTAGCGTTTTCTCTGTTTGGTTATGGAGGTGTGTGGCCGTGTAGATTGTAGTCAACTTGACCTTTCCAGGTTCTGAGGAAGGCGAAATCCGCCGAAACGTCAGCTTGTACGTAAATGAAGGAATAAAGTAACACATCGTGTTTACTGAACAGAAGTAGAAAGAATTACAATTTCTTTAGTCAGTTACTGTATCAAAATTGATCCTTTATACTCCAAGTTAAACTCTCTATTATAACCCTCCAGTTAAAGGATTTTAGAAACAAGCATAGAGGATTTAGGCTTCATTGAATTTATTCTTATTGGACAATGAAGTAGATATTTCAAAACAAAACCTCTGAATACCTTCTTGGATTGTTAAGCCAACATGAGGTTGATGTAGATGTTTATTCAACTAACTTTGCGATGTCTTGGTCTGCGTCGGAGCCCACGATACGAGTCGATCGTCCACACTTGTTTGCCTTCTCGATGTGATTGATCTCTTCGTCGTGGGATCTTCTTCAGTGGAACATTTCTCTAATGAGGCATTCTCACTCTGCGAGGGTCTTTTATATAGTTGATGTTGATATGACTATCCGTTGATAATATTTTGTTTTTCAACGGATAATCCATCCTTCAGCGGTCGGGATTATGTTAGTTAGCATATAGCGAATAGCAAATTAGACGAATAGACGTTGAAACGTTAGTGAATAGACACCTGTATCAAATTCGTGTTAGCTTATCAATCCATGAAGGTATTCGTTACTACTACCGACGTTAAATGTCGGTTGGTTTGGAAGCTATTGTCTTACCAAACTTATGATTTATTTCGTACTTGATGGCTCCTTAAGATTTGTCGTCTCCTTTCCTATAGATTTCACTGAATACTGGTCGAGTCGATTCTCCCTAAAGTCCTGGGCTAGCTGGACTGAAGCGTTTTCACTTAGATTTTGAAGGATGAACTGTTCGCAAAGAAGTCTAGTACCTATTTTCTAACCTTGGATGAATGAAAAGCTTGTTGAGCTCGGTGTGCGGTGTCGAACGAGTACTATGCTCGTGATGATTGGCATCATTACCACTGCGCTACTCGCCCGCATTCGAAAAATACACGTTATTAATAGGAAACATTCGGCACATTCTAAAGCACAAACGCCCTATTCTCATGTTTATGACTGCTTTATTTAAACTTGTAACGAGTGAATACTAAAAAAACTTCGCGGATGAGTGTTTAAGACAAAAGCAGGAAATGTACATGGTAAAATGAGCATCTTCTCTTCATTACTGAAGTGCATCACATCCTGTTGCAAAAACTCGAATTTCATTGTGAACCCATCAACGAAAAGGTTTCCATCGATTTCTGTCGGTGAGACCAAGGTTTCAATATTTTCATTGTTGGTCACAATCTCCATCTTTAGGCTAGGACCTTAAATTCCATTCCACGGAGATGAGCTTCTGTTAAACGTTTCTCTTCGATCGAGTTGGACATCGGGTATTTGTGCAAAAAGTCCATTACTGTACATTTCTAGATGATAGCGAAAAAACAGTGGTTAGCGCCT